GGGAATATTCTAAAATTATGGGATTTTTTGGGAATTCGGATAAATTTCATTTTTTTAAAATTCTGTCAAGTACCAATATCAACCAGAGAAATAATTGAAAGCCAGGAAGCAATGCACAGCTGCTTCGTCCTAGTTTGGTACTGTTCTTCAGTGCTTATCCATGAATCTACCAGCGATCTAAGTTGAAATTAACCTAACCCCTCACCAAAACGCATAATATAAATATCAACCTCGAATTTATTGATGGCTCCTGGATGGATGTCCTTAAACTGTATTGAGAAGTCACAGCTAGTGAGGTTCATCATGTCAGGAAGAAATGGATGTTTATTGAAAGCACTGGTTGTGAGTAGCGCTCTATCACGAATTTATAGAGTAAGAATTCACGGGTCACTGAATGGTCAGCGAGTTCGGTCTTGTAGCCTTTAGGTCCCTTGTCCAACTCCTGGCAAGTGGGATCATGAGTACGAACGGTTGAACAGTCTCAAACACTGGAAGAAACACGTGTCGACTGCTCTTCGGTTTTTGGTGATGTCTGTGAATGACATTGGTCCGTGACGGAATCTAGAATTAATTGGCATACAAGATTAACTCTTTGTTTTAATCAAATAGATAAAATTTCTAATTTTGCTTTTTCTTTGATGATGGCGCTTTTAGAGATCTCCGCAATACGATGTTACCAGTGTGATAGTAATGAAGATCATTCATGTCCAGCTAGAAGATATTTTGACACGAGATTGAATGCAATGATCGACTGTATTAGTTTCTTATCTCATTCACCTGGAACATTCTGTGTTAAAACATATCAAGAAAGTACTGGTTGGAATTCATGGATAAAGATAACACGAAGTTGTGGTGCAAGAACTGATTATGGTAAGAATTTATAAACATACATGTAGATTCCTAATTATGTCTCATTATAAAGACGTAGTCAGTCATACTACACTATTCTTTACAAATACAACGAGACTCCACTGTTGTACTTCATCTTGCAATGTGATATAAAGACATATTACTGATATACGTATATATATATATATCATTGTCCCCTTGGGTTCCGAGTGGAACATAGGGCTTCAAAAGTACATTTCCACTACGTCCTATTCCCTGTGGGGCTCTTTAGTTGGTCCCTCAAATGACCATGGTCTTTGATCCCCTCCTCAGTTTCACTCTCAGAGTGACACCCCACTCGTCGTTTCTCATTCGGGTTCCACTAAAGCGATGGCCTAATGAGCGATGTCATTTGACGGTTTCCTCAATGTGTATTCTGTACACCTCCAAGTTCTTCTGAATATTTATTGAACAGTTGACTTTTGCCTGTTGGTTCGTTCTCTGTCAGAGATTCTTGTTGCTAATTCTATTTGGCTAACCATTTAATGTTCAATATGGAGCTAGCGATGTAGGCAGCTGTTGATAAAAGTTTGAAATTGCCTGTTCTATATGCTTTTGGTGACGCCCCGTGTTTCGGATGCATGTAGAAGAACTGAATGACTTCTTAGTGCATTGAATATCCGAATTTCGTTCTTTATGCTCGTTGAGTACATAAGATTATCTCCAAACTTATTTCGGAGTGATGAATGCGTATCTTACCTTTCCGATTCTGACTTCGACATATTCATGCGTTCCATCTGTAGTTGAAACGATGCTGGTTGCATAGATGAATGAAGGAGGCAACTTCTGTCAAACCTCTCCAGTTGATGGTGATTGGTGCTAGTTGTTATTGTCCCTGTTGGTTGGCTATCTTCATCACCTACCTCCGTCGTCTCTATGTTCACCTGGAGTCTTGTTTTCCCTGCCTGCCTCATCCTCCAGTTTGTTGGTTTTTGCCAGCAAGTGTTCGAATTTATGTGACATTCAACATAGATCAGATACAAAGTCCAGACCTTCTAAAATCTTCTTATTAATAGTCCAGCGTATTCCTGTCTTCTCACTCCCTGTGCACAGTCTGACGCATAATCTAGTCCACTACAATAATTGCAGACACGCAGTTTTGTCTTACTTCTGGCTTCGCTTTACACTCTCTATCGAGTTTTCCTTCATGGATCACCGGACACTTGGCATTGTCATATAGTAGCCAGCTGTTGAATAAGGTTCATAAAGCTTGGAGCACTGCATACCGTTGTGTTGAAGTAATTTCCAAATTACTTCACGGTCAACTCTGAGCTGTTGAAGGCCTTTTCAAAGTCAATGAAATTGAGGTAGAGGGAGCTTTGATTTTTATTCTATACTCTGTTTGATGACGATGTGTTAAATTTCAATTTAATCAGCACATGATTTGCCATTGTTCCCTTGGGTTCTGAGTGGAACATAGGGCTTCAACAGCACGTCTGCTCTCCTCTTCATCTAGGCCCGCGATTGCGCGTAGTCGTTGATCTCCTCCTCACACGACCTCCTCCATGTCACTCTTTTACCGACCCACATCCAACTCGTCGTTTCTCATTCTGGTTCCAACCCACCTATGGTGCACGATGTCATTCGATGGTCTTCTCAATGTGTGTCTGATCCATCAGTCCACATTTTCTTCTCCGTCTTTGTTCAGCGATCAGTTCTCGCTTGTCGGTTTGTACCCAGAGTTTCTTTTTGCTACATCTTTCTAGCTTGTTGGTGTTGAGTGTGGAGCGAAGGCAGATGTTGATAAAAGTCTGGATTGACCTGTTCAAAATGCTTTTGTGGACTCGTGCACCAAGTCTCTAACCCATATAGGAGCAGTGATTGACTTACCAGTGGTGCTTAAAATCCAAATTTTGTACTGAGTGCTGAGTGTAGAAGATTTCCAAACCAACTTCAGAGCAATGAAGCTTTTGACGTTATCATGTGTACTGTCGCGTATGGTTGAAACGATGGCGGCTGCCTAGATAAATGAAGGAAGTAAGTGACCTCTTTCAAATTTCTCCCATTGAGAGTAATTTGTGCTTGTTGTTGCTAGTTGGTTGGTTATCGTCATCACCTCCGTCTTCTCTATGTTTACTTGAAGTCCTGTCTTCGCCACTTGCCTCATCTCCCAGTTTGCTGATTTTGCCCTGCGGATCTTTGAGTTTGTATGACATTAGACATAAATCATCTGTGAAATCCAGATCTTCTAGAATCTTCTTATCAGGTCAACATATTCTTGTCTTCTTATTCCCCACACACACAGTCTGACGCATAATCCAGTCCACCCTAATTGAGAATATCACCGGTGAATGCGGACAGGAAGCCTTATCTTACTTCTCTATTCACCTCACAGGTCTCACCGAGTTTTCCGTTGAGAATGACTTGATTCGTAGCATTGTCATATAGCTGTCAAGTAAGGCTCATAAAGATTTGGAGTACTGTACTTCATAGAGCTGATTTAATTTCAAAACTACTTTGCGATCAACTCTGAGCTGTTGAAGACCTTTCCGAAGTCGATGAAATTGCGGTATGGGGATATTTGACTTACATTCTGTGTCCTGTTCGATGATAATGCGTAGAGTTTTGTTTTAATTTGACCAGCATACGATTTGCCTTTCCTTAATCCAACTTGTTCGCGATGGGTTTCTGCATCGAGTGCATCTTTTATTCTCTGCGCGATGACGCGACTTAGTATTTTACTTGGTATATATGTATATATGTACATACTGTTCAGTGACTTGGAACACGCCTTAGAACTCAGTGACTATGATAAACTTTCATCAACAGCTATCGTCACAGTACTGGAGATCAGAAAGCCAGAAAGGATGACAAGTTACAGAAGAATTCAGGGAATAAACCAGTGAAACTGTTGACTGACAAGTATGACGAAGAAAATAGATTGAATTCCTGGAAAATATCCATCAGGACATTAGAGGGAAAAGAACAAGAAGTTCATCAAACATATCTGTCTTTTTGGCGATTTAATCCTTAAAAGCAGCTGTACAATCGCATTGATATACATAAGTTGACATAGATACAAGCACTATTTAATCCCACGTAGTAACGAAGGTGGTTAAAGGTGATAATAACTGTCAACTTGATATGGAAGTTCGAAGGTGTAAGTATGTGGATTACAAGGGTGAATAGAAACAAAAGTATTAAGGATTAGGAAATAGTTGCGTTATATGTAAAATAATTTCTTTTAAACAAATACAACTGTTAACATGATGAGCATGGAAACAAATTGAGATAATAATGATAAGAAGAAGAGTGATATTCTCTAACCGCCCACTGCTTCTAAGCAATATGAAGGATAAACTTCCGTATATGACCACTCCAATTTGCATATATCAGCTCACCTGCTCTTACGGAGATAATTACATAGATCATTCTATGCAGGTCCTATCAAATCATGTTACTATTATTATTATTGTTCCCTTGGGTTCCTAGTGGAACATAGGGCTTCAACTGCACGTCTCCACTTGCTTCTGTCTTCTGCTGTTCTTTTCACTTGCGTCCATGTTATTCCATACTGTTTCATCTCCTCCTCACACGATCTCCTCCATGTCACCCTTGGACGTCCCACTCGCCGCTTCCCTTTCGGGTTCCACTCGAGGGCTTGACGCGCGATGTCACTCAACGGCCTCCTCAGCGAGTGTCCAATCCATCTCCACTTCCTCCTGCATATTTGTTGGGCGATCGGTTCCTGTTTCGTTTGTTCCCATAGCTTCTTGTTTGTGATTCTTTCCGGCCATCTAATCTTCAGTATGGAGCGAAGACAGTTGTTGATAAAGGTCTGCAACCTGTTGAAAATATTCTTGGTGACCCGCCAAGTTTCTGATCCGTAAAGCAAAATTGACTTGACGTTTGTATTGAAAATCCGAATTTTGTTGTTGATGGTGAGTGACGAAGATTTCCAGATTGGTTTCAGGTTGATGAATGTGTTTCTCGCCTTCGCGATTCTCGATTTGACATCCTCGTCCGTTCCTCCTGTGGTTGAGACAATGCTCCCTAGATAAGTGAATGAAGTAACCTCTTTCAAATCCCTTCGGTTGATGGTGATTGGCGGTGGATGCTGCTGCTGTTGCTGGTTGGCTATTTCCATAACCTCCGTCTTGTCTATGTTCACCTGGAGTCCTGTCTTCTCTGGCTGCTTCTTCGACCAGTTTGTCGGTCGGTTTTCGCTTGTAAGTCTTCGATTTTGTGTGACATCAAACATAAATCATCCGCAAAATCCAGGTCTTCTAGGTTCTTCACGTCGGTCCAGGATATCCCTGTCTTCTCGTTTCCCACTGTCTGACGCATAATCCAGTCCACCACAATTAGGAATATCATTGGTGATAATAAGCACCCTTGTCTGACTCCTGTGTTTACTCCAAACGCTTCGCTGAGTTTTCCGTTGTGGATCACTTGACATGTGCCGTTGTCGTACAGTTGTTGAATAAGGTTGATGAATATTTGCGGTACGCCGTAGTACTCGAGTAGTTTCCAAATTACTTCGCGGTCAACGCTGTCGAAGGCCTTCTCAAAGTCTATGAAGTTGAGGTAGAGATTTGATTGCCATTCCATGCTTTGTTCGATGATAATGCGTAGAGTTGCAATTTGGTCAGAACATGATTTGCCTTTCCTGAATCCAGCTTGTTCTGGTCGGAGTTCTGTATCCAGCGCGTCCTTGATTCTCTCCAGGATGATGCGACTCAGGATTTTACTTGGCGTCGACAGGAGCATGATTCCTCGCCAGTTCTTGCAGAGTCCCAGGTCGCCCTTCTTTGGTAGTTTCACCAGGTAACCTTTCCTCCAGTCAGTAGGCACCTTTCCCTCTTTCCAGATCTTTTGCAATAATGGAGTCAGCATATCTGCCGTCGTTTCTGGGTCCGCTTTCAGTGCTTCCGGGGGTATTCCATCTGGTCCAGCTGCTTTTCCAGCTTTCAGAAGCTTGATTGCATTCATGACTTCAGTTTTCGTTGGAGGATTGGTGTCAACTTGCAGTTGTGTACGTGCTGTTGTTGGTATTACTGGACGGGTTGTAGGTGGTGGTCGGTTCAAGAGTCCTTTGAAGTGGTCCGCCCATTGTTTAATCTGTCTTTCTTCTTTGGTAATTGGGTTCCCTTGGCTGTCTTTTATAGGTTTCACTTGTGTTGATCTCTTCCCGGATAGAGACTTGGTTATCTGATATAGTGTCCTCAGGTCCCTTTTGCCTGCTGCCTTCTCAGCTTCAGTAGCCAGGTTGTCGTAGAATTGTCTTTTGTCCTTCCTGGCACTCTTCTTCACTTCTTTGTCCAGTGCTGTGTAAGTTGAGTTCAGCGTCTCTTTCTCTTGTCCATCTTTGCATTGAATCATTTTCTCTTTCACTTTTCTCCTCTCCTCTATTAGTTTCCAAGTGTCTGTTGAGAGCCATTCCTTGTCTTGTTTCTTCTTTCTTCCTAAAACCGTTGAGCACGTTTCGTTAAAAATTACCTTCAGGGAGTTCCTATGGTCTTCCACGGATGATTCCTCAGTGGTGCCACGTAGTGTTTCCTGCTTTGCTCTGACAGTTGCAGTGAAAATGTCCTGTGTGATTGTGTCCTTCAGTTTGTGAGTGTTGAACTTGCATTGTGGCCTATCCCCAGGTATCCTCGAGGCTTTCAGCTTCACCTTGAAAGTCCCTTGTACCAGATAGTGGTCTGAACCCACATCTGCTCCTCTCCTCGATCTTGTGTCCAGTAGGCTCGGTCTCCACTTCCTTGAGATTGAAATGAAGTCTATCTGGTTTTTGGTGTGTCCATCTGGTGAAATCCATGTTGCCTTGTGTATATCCCTGTGTTTGAACACACTGCCACCAATCACCAAATCATTGAAGGCGCAGAAGTCTGAGAAGAGTTCGCCATTTTCGTTCATTTCACCGAGGGCCTCACGACCCATGGTGAGTTCTCTTCCTGTATTGTCTCCTCCCAGTTTCGCATTCATGTCGCCCATCAGGATTTTGATATCGCTCTTTGGGACGTTGTCCATTACTGTTTGTAGTTGACTGTAGAAATCCTCCTTCTTCTCATGTTCTGAGGCGTTTGTAGGCGCGTAGCACTGAATGATTGTAACCTTTTTTCCTTTTGAGTTGAACCTGGCTGTCATTATCCTGGAGGAGATTGGTTCCCACTGCATGAGAGCTTTAGCCGCTGTTGGTGACATCATGATGGCTACTCCCTCGGTGTGCTCGTGATTGTCCTCTGGGTGACCGGAGTAGATTATTGTCTCTCCAGTTGATAGTTGGCTCCTTCCACATCCGTTCCATCTGCTCTCGCAGATTCCCAACACTTCTATTCTATATCTCCTCATTTCTGCGGCTACCTGAGCAGCCTTCCCAGCTTCGTACATTGTACGAACATTCCACGTCCCCATCCTTATTTTCGCTTTCATCGAAAGAAGGCAGGCACATCGGCTGACTGGCTTCCCGAAGGCTTTCACCAGCCCGCGTCATTTCACTTCCCCGATTCCAGCGAAAAATAAGGTCACTATTTGTAATTTTAGAATTTTGAATATATTTGTGCGTTGAAGTTTTAGTAGCAATTTGGTTAAGTTTTGGGGGTGGAGTTGCTAGCACCACGCCCCAACCCTCCCTCTTTATCCGGGCTTGGGACCGGCTAGAATACTAGTGACCTAGTAATCTAGGCGAGGTTATCAAATCATGTTAGAGAACATTATCCACCATGACAGCAAAGGGGAGGTATTGGTTCAATCAGAAGTGACATAATTTAACACCTCATCAACACACCATCTCAACTGACTCATTACGTTCAGAATCAGTTACAGAATAAACAAAAATCTACCATAGACAGTGTGTTCCCAACTTCTTTGTACTTCAGAATTACTCGCCATATGCATCGAAAAGCCAGAGTTATGTGTTCAAAAGAAACTAGTCCAACCTCTACATTTATCATGGATCTGATTCGGTTTGACTCCTTAGTTTTCGTGTGTTTTTTGTTTTGTTTTCTTTTAATTCCCTTCATCTTTGTCCATTTCAGTTATAAAAAGTCATTATCTCATTTTGTTTCCATGCTCACCACATTCATACTTGTATTCTATAAAAACTATTTACTAATCCTGTGCTTACTTCAAACATTCAACAATGCCCACTAAAACATCGACTTTACTCTTGAAGCCGAATCCGACGGAATGTTCCACTTCCTCGACGTCCATCTGACAAGATATGCCAGCAACTCTCTGAAAAGGTTCATATACAAAAAGCCTACATGGAATGGGCAATTCATCAACTTTCAAAGCTTCCTTCCCCTAAGCAGAAAGAGGAACCTGATATACACTCTTTCCTCGAGGATTCGGAAGATATGCAGCGAGGAAAAGATTGACGAAGAACTGAGTAATCTCCGAAGGACCCTGATGGAAAACAGTTTTTCAACCAGGTTCTTACACAAAAACCTCAAATCAAAGAAGACTTCCGAACAAGTTCAATCCGTCCCAGAGAAGATACTTCTGCTTAATCTAGAATTCAAAGGTGACATTGAAGCAGAAATCCTTTTTAAACGCCTCTGCAAATCTCTGAGGAAGACATACTACGCCGCGAGCTTACGACTAACGTTTTCCTGCAAGAAACTGTCCAACCAGAACGCGAAAGACAAACTGTCTCATTGGGCCACTTCAGTGTGCATATACCAGTTTACTTGCTCTTGGGGAGCTGAGTACATCTGCCACACCATGTTCCAACTTGAAAAACGCACTCGTGAACACTATCCAGCCTAGCTAGTAAAAGGAGAACGAAAAAGGGTATTTAGTTCAGTGAAAGAACATCTGGTCAATTCAGGACATTCAACGCCATTAGAAAAATCCTTCAAAATCATATACAAGAATCGATCAAACCTATCAAAGGGAGTAAAATCAAGGAATCTGGGCGTAACCAAGGCACTAGCCATCCAAAATCTCAAATCCACGCTATGTATACAAAAGAAATACGTCCAACCCTTGTCCCTACCGTGGCCAACATAAACAGGTAATTCTTCTAATAGTGGCTATCCCATTGACTTTCTTAGCCAAACTTCCTGTTTATTCATGTTATTTTAAGTTTTTCATAATCCCTATTTACACTACCATATTTTCATATTCGAACTTCTTGTCTTTTTTGTCATTTTATTATTTATACATATTTAATCCTTGATTGCATATACAATTGTTCGTCACATTAGTTATGATCCCACTAGATTTTGTTATCCAAACATCCTGTCTATTTTTATTTCTACATTTCTAACCCCCAATTGCACAATATGTCAATTTTCTCAGTAATCATGATGCTACTTTGTTTGATTTTTATCTGTTACCCCCCTGTTTATTATGGCATTTTAATTCCTAATTGTAATTTTATGAATCTGACCCTTGATCGGAAATTATTCTAAAACTTTCCCACTCATTTATCATAAATACATGAATGTACAGCCTAGTTGACGGTGACTTCGCCGGAAAGAACATTTTCTTCGCTGCAACTGTATTTTTAATCCTGTACAATTTTGTTCCTCTTTCGGATTGTAATATAAACTGACACCTTCAAACTTTCGTAACAAGTTGAGAATTATTATTATTATCATATTTAACGAGCGAAACAGCCGCCCGGCGTTTAGATCACTTTTATCTAGCTGGCGGGCTGACTAGCAAACATTACCGGTTCATTTGAATGGTATATATATTTATATATAAGTAGTATGCACTAACCACGTCTAAATAATCTTCTAATCTAATTCTTCCTTTCTTTCATTTATTTCCTTATGCTAAACAGGATTAGCATGGAGTTGTCGTTATTGGTTTGAAGAACAAGGTATCTATAAAGAAGTTTGCTATTGTCAAGATAGAGATGGTTGTAATTCAGCAATAAGACAAATGAATTCCTCTTATAAATTAACTTTAGTCTTTATACAATTATTAACTTTTACCTTCATTTATATTAGAAAATATTAATGATAATAATTCTTTTTCCTAAGTGTACAATCTCACATTAATTTAGGCGCGAAATACTAATGTGCGCGAAATTTGTTTTACGAATAATCTTGAGCACTAGTTTGAAATTGTGATATTCATTGATTTCTATGTTATCGTGATATATATATATATATATATTCAGCTAGCTAGAATGTACACATGGAACAACACGGTCATAAATGTGCAGTGATATAACAGAGAGACATATGTAAACACAGCATTTGTTGTGATTTAAAAACCATCGTTTTTACGTATGAATGTATATACTTATAAATATTTGTAATTTTATAATATACAGGCTGTCTTAAATGTTCAATTAGTTTTGATTTCAATTTGGCGAAAATATGCATTAAGGCATGTATAAAACACAAAACAATTGAGCAAAAAATATCCTTTTCGATAATTTCCTCTTCTGGCTCTACAATTGGATATCTGTATGTTTACATACATAGAATATTCTAGAATAGTAGTCAATAACAATACCTTGGTGTTTTTTAAATAATATCGATTTGTAAAATAAGATCACGATGGAATTACAATTAACACAGGAAATTTAGAAACACAAGTATATTGAAAATCAACGCACACAGATCAAATACTCAACTATACTGGTGACAACCCAATTACTCACAAAAGAAACTGTGTGAAGACATTGTTTAAAAGAGTTCAAACACACTGTAGCACTCCTGTGTTGAAGAGAATGGAGGAAAAATACCTACTAAGGGTCTTCAAAAAGAATGGATATCCTCACAGTTTCATCAAAAAGTGTTTAAAGTCGAATCAAAACACCAACAAGAAACCATCATCAAAGACCACCAGAACATTCCTCCTATCATATATATATAAAATATCTCTGAAATAACAGCTAAAATATTGAAACAGTTTGAAATAAACATAGTACACAAGCCATTCAAATCATTTAATTCGATACTGTACAAACCGAAAGGTCCAACAGAAAAAGAAGATAAAATTAATACCATTTAAAAAATGAACTGCAACAGGCATAACATCGGTCAAAGTGGGCGTCCCCTTCGAATCAGAATCCAAGAACACAAATCAGCCGTGAAAAGACACTATATATATTCTTCAGTATCAATGCATATAGACAATTATGGACATCAGTTTGATTGGGATCATGTCGAAATGTTAGACAGAGGAAACACCAAAAGTGCCAGAGAATTCCTAGAAGCCTGGTACTCAAGCGAAAATGCAATTAACAAACACGTTAATATAGATGAAATATACCAACTAATAAAAAGTAAATCAGGTGACCAAAAAGTTTAAAATTCAAGTCAATAGAAAATGGTCAATACAAATGTAAAGATAGTTACGAGGAGACGCAATTCTATCACTCATGAAGAAATTTAAATCATTTCACTTTGTGCTAAATATGGCGCTGAAGATGTTGTCCAGAAGGACGACGAAAGCTTCGCAAATCAACCAACCAGCTCAGAGAACACTACTAATTGCGAATTACAGCTCATTAAAGATGCATAAAATTTAACAACAATAATAAAGATATAATAGCAAATGGAATATCAGTTAAAATTAAGGAAATTTCTACAAAAAATTGAGTATCATTAGAACCTAGATGATCAAGGTAAGGACAATGTCTGAATCAACCAGCTTCTTTTGGACACATAAATTAGGCTTTTTAATGTGGATCCCAACAACCAGCCTCAGCAATATTTAGTAGTCGAACTGTTAAGGCGAAGTTAAGATTTATTGGTATGCGGTAAATGACGCTGAAAGTCGCCTCGTTGACATCAATCTTGTGTTCAGTATCCACAAGATGAGATAGATAGAATAGCGCTACGAGTGGATTGTGTTTGTCTTTTGCTTAACCACTCAGGGTGATGTTCGAAAATCCGACGATAGACACGCCTATTTTGTACGGCCTATATAACTGGCTCACTTCATAGGAGCAGTTAAATTAGTAGATAGATACACATGGAAGAGGCGAATTAGCGCAGTTCATCTTTTACTCCCGAATGTAAAATAGGGTAGCTTTGGAGACACAGCGTAATTCAGCATCAGGGAATGGTGTTTTTACTGCCATATTCCTTAGGCGTTGTGTTAATATCTTGCTGATGTTATCCCCCAGGAACTGAATTTGTAAAAATAAGGCCTTTTTAGGAACTGTTGGTACCTTGGGCTGCTTAGACTTTAGATTCATATTCTTATCAATAAACTTTTCTGGATAACCGCTCTCAATCAGCAACCATTAAATATTATTAAGTCTCTCATCAAGACATTCATCCGAGCAGATTGTTCTTGCTCTGTGAAGCAAGCACTTTATCAGATTGTGTTTGTATTTCAAAGGCACGAAGCTGAAAAAAATGATTATACTGACAGTCAGTTGATGTTGGTTTTCTATATACATTTCTTCTTATTGTGCCGTCCTCTTTTCCAGTCATAAGGATGTCTAGAAATGAAATACTAGGGTCTTTTTCTCCTTCTCAATAGTAAAATTTATGGCAGGATGAACATCGTTAAATTTTTCCAGGCAGGATGTTCTTCGCTTCATCCTCATTTTTCATAATCGAAAATGTATCATCCATGTGCCGACAACAGAATTCAAGTTCATAAATTTTCGTCTTTCAAAGGCCCTTTTTTCTCGTTTCGCAAGGAAAATGTCGGTTTAAAAGGGATCCTAGTGGTTACTCCATTGCCGCGCTATGTTTTGATTTCATTGAACTAAGTAAAAAATACTTTCCATCCATCATTTTATTTGATTAATTAAACAAAGTGGATAACTTCAAAGTAGGTTTCACAATAAAGTGATATTGTAACAACAGAAGACAAGGGCCAGGCAACAGATCGTTTATTACGAAAAATCAACACGTATTTATAGATTTTTATGTACATTATTGTAGGTCAATGTTAGTAGAAAATACAGTCTGTTGATTGGTTGTTTCTCACACAAAGTTAACCTTGCATCTCTTGTGGCTGTGTCAGTTCATCTATATGTTAACTGTAACCGCCTGTCCACCTTGACCTTTGACCTCAATTACTGTCAACCAATTTGGCCAGCAACCATCTCTCACCACAACATGACTAATATTTGATACATAAACATTGACCTCAATTACTGTCCACCACTTGGCTAGTAGACCGCTCTCACCACAATATTATTTAGAAAACTAATTTAAACAAGAGGAGGCTGAGTACAACTATTTCGTCCAGGTTTGGGACTCCTCAGTTGTGAGATTGATAAAATTCCTACAAATGCATATATTTGTATATCAATCCATTAGGGATTAGTAGTGAGTGATTCAGTATGGAATGAACTTCCTGGATTTTGAACTCAGTTGTGTTCTCACAACTGATTGATTTAATTCGGGAGTTTCCGTTTTCCTCCTTCTAGATGAAATCTTCATAGAAGGTTTCAGTAGGAAATGAACTTTGATTTGTTGATATTAGATGGTTGGAGGCAATCGGTAGGAAGCCGTGGTGCAGAATGGGTTATCCGGCCCTCATGCAATATATATATATATATACATAGCCCACTGGTACTTGATTACTGACTGGTTTCAACTGAGAACTCTGCACAGAGTGGATGACACTTTCACACACAGTGTTAAAAACAGAACATATCTCTAGCTTCTTGACACATTTAAACTCACTAGTAGAGGGAATACAATTCACATTTGAATCGGAAAATGAACAAGGCGAATTAGCTGTAGTGTTAGATTGTAAAATAAAACGAATAGAAGAAGGTGAACCGCACACTAGCGTTTATAAAAAACCAACGCCTTCTAATAGATATTTAGACTTTAATTCATCTCATCCGTTATCTGTTTCTGAAGGCAGGCTCAGTTAGGTGTCTAACAAACCGAACTATAGCACCAAGTAGCACAAGAAAAGACCTAAATGATGAAATGAAAAGGATAAAGGAGGCATTGGTGTTAAATAACTATCCCATAAAATTCATTAGGAAGACCGAAAACAGCCAAAATAAAAATAAAAATAATTATGAAACTAGTAATGATAACATAAATAAGAGAGAATATAAGTCATCTACTGTTATATCATATAAGGAGGGGACATCTGAGACCCTACGTAGGATTCTAAATAAAGCAGGAATTAGGGTGTCATTCAAACCTACAAACTCACTCAGAGACAAGCTCTATAGGTTAAAGGACCCAGTTGACCCAATTAAACAAAATAATATAATTTACAAAATACCCTGCAATGACTGTGCGTTAGGTCAACTACATAGGTCAAACTAGTAGGTTGGGAGTAATCAGATTGTTGGAACATAATAATTTAGCTAAGGTAAGAATGGTTGACCCAGAGAAGATAAGTAATTTAGAAAAAAGCTCAGCAATTGCACTGCATGCATTAACACACAACCACACAATAGGGTGTGAGAGGGTTAAGATTCTAAAAAGTAATGTAGGTGGGTGGAGAGAGAGATTGATTACTGAATCCATCCTGGTTCATCGAGTCTCCAATGAACACAACAGATGCAATGGGAATGACTCAATGCAAATACCAGAAATATGGAAGATATTATTACCACCAGTGAAATCAGAAGAGGGTAATAAATAATCTTAAAATTCCATTTCACTTCACGTACATCATAACATTCTAACAAGTTGCTTATTTTGATTATAAGAACACTCGTCTTATTTATCATCTGATTCTATTTGATCAATAACACTCATATTATTATTTCTGAATGTGCATTATCCCATACTGATTTTTATTCAAATATCTAGTGAGTTCCACACATGTATATAAATGTAGCAAAAAGTTGTGTGAGTAACTTGATATGATTATGAGCGGCAATAATTTGTGCTCGAAACGTGGTCATCAGTTAATATTACTGTAGATGTAACACTGTGTGATTTATCAAAATAAAATCTTATCCATAATGGAGTTGTACTCTACCACAGTGCCCAAGTTTTATGCTTATGTCGTGCATTTTATTGAATGATGAAGCCATGTTTTGATTTGACCACCACTAGCTGTCT